AAACTTTGTAGCAGTATCTCCCGAGAGTATCTTTTCTCTAACAAAGTGACAGTCAATCTCAATGTGTTTAGTTCTCTCATGGAACACTGGATTTGACGCAATATGAAGAGCAGCTTGATTATCACACACAAGTCCCATCTGACTAATCTCACCAAATTTCATCTCCTTGAGCAATTGTTTGATCCAAATTAGCTCACATGTCGCCATAGGCATCGCTCGATATTCTACTTCTGCACTAGACCGAGCAACCACATTCTGTTTCTTGCTCTTCCAGGATACCAAATTTCCTCCTACTAAGACACAATATCCAGACGTAGAACGTCTATCAGAAGGTGATCCTGCCCAATCAGCATCCGAGTATCCAACGATCTGCTCATGGCCTCGATCCTCAAACAATAAGCCTTTGCCTGGAGCTGATTTTATATACCGAAGAATGCGAACAACTGCATCCCAATGACTATCACACGGAGAATCCATAAACTGACTCACAACACTCACAGAAAAGGAAATGTCAGGTCTTGTCACTGTAAGGTAATTTAATTTACCAACCAACCGTCTATATCGCGTAGGATCGCTGAGAGGCTCCCCCTGTCCTGGCAGAAGTTTAGAATTCGGATCCATCGGGGTGTCAACAGGTCTACAACCTGTCATTACTGTCTCCTCAAGAATATCTAAGGCATACTTTCGTTGTGATATCACAATACCTGAGCTAGACTGAGCGACCTCAATACCCAGAAAATACTTTAGTTTGGCCAGATCCTTAGTCTGAAAGTTTTGAAAGAGATGTTGCTTCAATTTAGTAATACCATCCTGGTCATTGCCGGTAATAACAATATCGTCAACATAGACCACCAGATAAATACAGAGACTCGAAGCAGAATGCCGATAGAATACAGAGTGATCAGCTTCACTCCGAATCATGCCAAATTCCTGGATAACTGTGCTGAACTTACCAAACCAGGCTCGAGGAGACTGCTTTAGACCGTAAAGTGACCGGCGTAAGCAACATACAAGGCCACGAGACTCCCCCTGAGCAACAAACCCAGGTGGTTGCTCCATATAAACTTCATCCTCAAGGTCACCGTGTAAAAAAGCATTCTTAATGTCCAGCTGATAGAGGGGCCAATGGCGAACAGCAGCCATGGATAGAAAAAGGCGGACTGATGCTATCTTAGCCACGGGAGAGAAGGTATCACCGTAATCGAGCCCAAATATCTGAGTATATCCCTTGGCAACAAGACGAGCCTTAAGACGATCAACCTTACCATCCGGACCAACCTTGACTGCATACACCCAACGACAACCAACAGTAGATTTACCTGAAGGAAGAGGGACGAGCTCCCAAGTACCACTCGTATGTAAAGCAGACATCTCGTCAATCATAGCCTGTCGCCATCCTGGATGAGACAATGCTTCACCTGTAGACTTAGGGATGGAAACAGAGGACAAAGAAGATAGAAAAGCATAATAGGGTGATGATAAACGATGATAACTCAAACCGACATAATGGGGATTAGGATTAAGGGTGGTCTATACCTTTCCGAAGTACAATCGGTGTACTAGGAAGAGACAAGTCCGCAGTAGGAGCAGGGTCAGGTGCAGGACGTGAATCAGCTGGGCCTGATGCTGGGTATGTCAAAAGTGGTGTTCCTGTGGCAGGGAGTCAAGGAGGAGCCACACTAGACTCCTCAACGGTTCGGAATGGGTAAGACTTCTGTAGCGGAAGGTGAATAGGTCTGTGGCCTTCTTGGATTTTGATAATGACGTTCGTTACACATACACCTCTATCTCCTTGTGTATCATATCATGGTAAGATGGTTGTCAGTTGGCTCTTATGTAGGTAGTC